GGTGTTAGAAGGTCAGATCTATAAGTTAGAGAAACAGATCTGACCTCAGAAGGTCGTTTGAGCATTCTCATGGAAGAAACTCGCCGAGTCCATGAGAGGACTCGACGAGTCGGATTGTGTTGCACCATGACTCGTGATCAGTGGTAACCCGTCGAGAGAAAGGATAACTCGACGAGTCGAGTGAGGCCTTAGGAGGATTCAGAGGACATGCATGGACTCGCCGAGTCACCCGAGTGCACTCGACGAGTCTGGTCAAAGTTGGAACGTTGACTGGGGTTGACTTTTAGGGTTTGGTCAACATTTGGACATTGGACCATTAGAGGGGTAAAATGGTCTTTTCCCCTTCTAAGAGAATATAGGGAGGGACTAGTCTAGCCTTTGAGAGCCGTATTAATTAGAGATAATTACTTTATGTGATTAGGCGGAGGCTAGATCAGTGATTCGAGTTCGAGACTTTCCGAGATTACCCGAGGTGAGTCTTCTCATTATACATTACCTAGAGTGGTAACTATGTGCAGACCGGAGGGTCTTATGTGTTATGTGTATGTTTGATTTTATGTGCATTGTGATATATGTATGTTATGTGTTATATAGACCGGACCGGAGGGTCCTACGATTTAGACCGGACCAGAGGGTCCAACGATTTAGACCGGACCAGAGGGTCCAATGAGCTAGACCGGACTGGAGGGTCCAACGAGCAATGAGACTGGAGGGTCCCGCTGAGACACATTAACCGGAGGGTCATACCGAGTTATAGCCTCGAGTGGCTTATGTGTTGTATGTGGTATTTTGGGGAACTCACTAAGCTTTGTGCTTACCGTGTTATGTGCTATGTGTCTCAGGTTTCTCAAGATCGCGGGACGGCACCGGCTTGATTGTACACACAAGAGAAAGAGTTATGTTTTGAGGATCCTGGTTATGAATGGAGTTGTGTTTTGTAATTTGAATAAACGAGATTTTTATACAAAGTGTTATGAAAAGTATGCGTTTTTAAAATGAAAAATTCGTTTGAAAATTTATGGTGTTATAAATAATCACATATCTAGATAACATTTACCTAGAAGAAGAGTATGGTTACTTACATGGTCCGTTAGTGAAAACTAACTTCTTTTTTGGCATCTAGCTTCAAGTTTCCTATTAACTTATCACTTCACTAATGACCTATTCAAATCAAAATATCAAGTTCCTTATACTTATCCCAACTCCTTATGAGTTCAATTATCATATGTAACCACAATGACCCTTTGCTTGAACACTAACTAAACTCGATAACCATTTGTTATCCTAATTAAGGTCTATAATACAACCGCTAAACGTCTTAACTCTGTAAGTCGATAGCTCTATCCCACACTTCTAGAATTTCAATAAATAACCCTTATCGACCAAATTAAGAATTACATCGTGGAATTCATGCATTAGACTTACCATTGAGTTTGTAATAGCACCGTATCCGTATCATGAACTTTGGTAACTAACTTAGGTTCTATTAACCCTTCACAATTACATAACTTAAACAAAATTACATAACAAAATAAGAAGATACCTTAACCCTTCGGTAGTTTGTACTCATGTTCACTAATGTCAATACCTGCCTTCTTTAATTAAAAATCACCACTCGATTACTCCATAATTTATTTTAGAAAAAAATCCATTTGATGAACCATTTGAGCCTATATATTTCCTCATTTACGTGATGACGTGTCGCGTCGCGTCGCCGCTATGGACGCGTCATGTCCATTCATGCTCGCTTGAATTTGCCATGTCTACACTTGTCTAGGCCATAGGCTTTGTTACTACCACAAGCCCAAACATCTTCTTTGATCTCATTAATCATGAATTTATTCTCTAACATGTTATCATGTTCTAGTGATAACTCTTTAAACCCCGTATTGCGGTTCTCAACTCAAACCCCTTTTATATAAATATTTTTCTAATAAAAATAAAATAAAATAATTCTTTCACCCAATTTGGCTTCGTAATTCGCTATCCGCCACACATAATCCCTCGAACCTAAATTTGGCGACACCTTCTCTTCAATATACCTTGATAAAATCTTGTATTTTCATCACCTTCCAACCCATTTAATTTTTACTTTTAACCAATGTCAAGGCCTTCCTGTTTTTTTTTTCCACCCGACTTTTTTAAATAATTGGGTCGATCAATAGATAATGGGTCATTACCTTCGCTATAAAAAAGATTATGTAGCTCCACTAATTTGGAAATAATTTCCTCTTTATACACCAAGTAACTTCTATGTTTTTTCCTTTGCACGTTTATACTTGCTTTTAGGTGCTTCAAAAAATCTTTATAAATGGTCAAGAATTCACACCTTAGGCCCTTTTGAAAATTGGACCAACCCTCACTTCAAGCTTGACCGATAATATTATAACCATGGTGTTCAGTTGGATAAAGGATAGAGGTAAATTTAAAATTGTAATTGGGCTACTTGATGAATTTGTCCTTACAGCATTTTAGTTATTTTTTTTACTAAAATTTCGCCGTTTAAAAAAAAAAATGTATTCGGAGATACTTCCAACACCCCTTCAGTTACTAAAATATCAATCAAGTTTTGCCACGCTATTACCTTGATTATTCACATGCATAAAAGAATAACTTTACATAGAATGTCATAAAAAATCACTTCACGTACAAAATCATTAAAATTTTCAAAAACAAGTTGACAAAAATTCGTGCCATATCTCTCCATTTGATTTCGAAAAACATTAAAGTGGCCAAAAAAATCAAGTAATCTCCTTTATTCCGATTCATGAACGTCGATAAAAAAAATCCAAAGACCCCTTTTGCAGTAATTTATATTGTGGTGTGTAAATATCCACTATATAACACTTAAGCTTCAAAATCACCTTGTCCTATTCCATGATACAAGTGTAATCCATACAGACCATCAACTTCTTAACAATGACGACGAGATCCCAAACCGATACAATCCCCCCGAACGACCCCTTTCACTAGATGCTGCTTTGTTTAAATGGAAGAATGTATTAACTAGTGAAGAAAAGTGTGGGCCTTGGCATTGAAAGCCTTTTTTTTTCTTTTACTCAAGCCTTACTTTACAAGTAGATATGTATATTTCTAGTTGAACCTAATTCTATTTGGGTTCTAATTATCAATTATGTGCTTTTGGATACTCATAAGTTTTGCTTCATGAATGCTTGACCTAGGTTGGGGTTGAATAAACGTAATTGGACAAGTTTAGATTAATTCATGATTCTATCGTGCTTTTAATTAACAAGATAGGCAGATTTAAGAGCTAGAGTTGATGATTATATGTTGTTAGTGGGGGAAGATTCTACTAGGTGGAATACATGCATTATATCCCATTAGAGTGAACATATCGGCCTGGAGACTTCACTTACACAAGTTTCCTACTAGAGATAAACTACATAAACGAGGTGTTGATATCGAAACCCTTTTTTTTGTCCTTTTTGTAACCTTCATACCAAAACTATATATCATCTCTTTTTATTGATGTATGGCTTCTTATATTTGGAACCAAGATGCTTATTGGTTAGATCATGTGCATCTTAACGAAATGCAAATAAAATGGTTTAATGTGGTAGTGCTTACCAATTTGCTAAGAAGATTTTAACATGCTTGTTTATTGTGGCAAAAAAAAAAAAAACACCTAAGAAGAGTCTCCATTTTTCAGAAAAAAAATATAGTCACTTATTCGTATTTTATGATGTTTATTTTGACAAAAAAAAAAAAAAAACAACCTAAGAAGAGTCCATTTTTTAGAAAAAAAAAAAATAGTCACTCATTTGAATTTTAGGATGTACATAGAAATATTAAACTTAAAGTTAATTAGATCGACGGGCTTTAAAAGCCAAACGTAGCATCCACAATTGTTGAACTTTTCATAACGTTTAAACATAATTCATCAATTCAAAATGATAGAAAGATCTTCAAAATATAAGAGTTTTTCATCGAATTATTTATGAGACCTTTTTATTTTATTTATTATTTTATTTATATAAGCTGTTTATTTATAATTGGTTGAAACATATCAATAATTATTGAGAAAGCTTATAGCAAGGCTTATAAATTTAAAAACTATTTGAATTTTTTTATTTAAATAAACTCCATGATAAATTTTTTTAAAGCTTATTTGACAAATCTAATGACTAAAAATATTGTTAAACATCAAATTGATCCCCTACTTTTCTTATTCCAGCCCATAAATAGCCTACCTACTCACAATATAAAGTAATCATTATTAGGGGCTGTTTGGCAGGATCTGAATTTTTAAGATCTGAATTTTTAAGAGGTCTGAATTGCAAAGAGGGTCTGAATTTTTAAGATCTGAATTTTAAAATGTTGTTTGGTTGGAACCTCTGAATTATTTTGTTGAATATTAAAAATGACCATTTTACCCTTCTGCATTATTTCTTTTAATTACAACATTATACTTCTTATTAAAACATCATACTTTCAAAACTATGACCAATTATTCTAATTAGGTAGAAATAGGAAGTACAATGTCATGACAGCTAAATGGAGAACAAATATACTAATTAAAAACCATGAATCGTACATATATAAACAATTTCAAAATCAAAACACTTTACATTTTAAATTCCTCTGTATATATATAAACAATTCCACATAAATTGTAATCATCTCTAACCTAATTGTAATCAAGATCACAATGTTTACAACTTTGAAAAACTTTGAAAAAAACATACATATTAAACACCATGAATCTTGATATGCTCTCTCTTCACTTTTTCCAGTCTCTTTTACAAAGAGAAACCTGATAATAAATAATTAGAAACACATAAAGCATGAGACCGTGAACTACATCAACAAATCAGCTAGATAGCAGCAAAAAAACATCAGAAAAATCACAATTTTCTGAAGAACAAAACAACAAAAACCAATATTTGAAACAGTACAAAGCATCATTACCGATTTCAGCAAAAACCAAGAGAAAAAAACGAAGAAATAGCAATTTTATGAAGAACGAAAAACATACATGTTTATGCGATTAGGGCAAAAACGAAGAAAACGATCGCTCCGGAGTGAACGTAGGAGGGTGACATACAGAAAAAGCAAACAACAATCAAAGCAATTAGAGGAAGGTCCCCATTGTTGCCAGCCTCGAACAGGGACAGTTGCGCAAGGTGAAGGTTAGAGGACGGCGACACTGAAGGAAGGATAGAGAACAGAGGCGGTGGTGAAGGGAGGTGTCGGAGGTGGTGTTGACGTTGGAAGAAGGTCGGAGCTTCAGAGGATGTGTTTGTGTCTTGTGTGCGATGGGAGGGGAGCATGTTTATGCGATTAGGGCAAAATGGGAAGCAACCCTTTTTTTCTTCTTTCAGATGCGATAACAAGTCTGACCGAATAAGATATAAATTTCAGATTCAGATGTAAAATTAATAGCTAAACAAACACTGTTAATGGAAAAGATTCAGATATGCCTCTTATTAAGAGGCAATAAGAGGCAAACAAACAGCCCCTTAGTCAAATAGACAATAGTCTATATAATACTAGTTCCAGCCCAAATATAAATTTTAAGTTATAATATTAGTTCCAACCCAAATAACACTTTCAAAACTTAAAATCATTTCATACTAAAATTAGTTTTTGTTAAACTAGAATAATCATATTCATTCACTTGTCGAATTTACGGTTTTTGTATGTGGGATTCGTTTGTCTGTACTTATTTTTCCTCATATATAAACCCTTAAATATATGTCATACAATGATATTAAAACATGAATTTAGAACTTGTATTTACATCGTTATGCTATAGTGCTTCTTATATCAAAATTTAATCCTTATATTTAAAAATAAATTGAAATTTTCATAAGGCTATTGGGTGTGGGCAACGGTGTTCCATGTTATTACATGAAGTGGGGATGGTGTTTCCTATGTTATTATATGTTATAACATTGTGTTAAGATGAGAGAGATAGAGAGTACAAGAGGAAAAAATGATTTGATTGGGTGTTATCTCTCGTTCCCGTTACCACATCCTAATAACACAACATCTAATAACACCAAGCTGAGGCGGTGTTCCACTGCGTTTTTAGCCATTTTTAGATAATAATGTAAGTGGGCGTTGCCCACTTGTAGTAGTCTAAACTTTAAAACCCGTTTCCATTTCGGCAAAACGCAGAAAAGTAACAAAATTTTACAACTTTTAGGTTAAGCAATAACAATCATTTTACCTTTAAAATGATTCATTTGTATTGTGGTTTGTTCTCTGAAACCACACAATAACAAAAAAAGTCCAATGTACAATATACATTCCTAACTTCTTCACAAAAAATCAGGATTTATTGAATGTTTATATGATTGTACGTAACTCTTCAAGTTCTTTTTTTAATGAATGCCAAGTCTTTCACCTTTATTTATCTATTTATTTGAACTATATAAATATATAATAATGATATGTATATTTATAATAACTTTCGTTTACAAAGACTTCACCCAAATCAATATTACCGGCTTTAGTTAAATTGAGCTGACAAAATAAAAATGTTAGTCTGGAGCTAAAAGCGGCAAATACCAACCTGGCCAGGTGTGTTTGACATGTGGATTTTAGCCGGGAGCAGAGCTTCAACATTTAATTTGGGGGCCGAAAATATAATATGTATAAATATCGATGAGCAGGAGGAGCCACAACCAAAATTTTATATTTTTGGTCCTAATATGTATAAAATTAAAATATAGGAGCTAATTGTAACAAAAAAAAAATTAGGCATAACACAACCATAATAATCCTTTTGTGATCTTATGTCTTACGTATACATGATCAAAATAATCGTATTTCTAATTAAGATATTTTATTCTTAATGTTTGCGGTTTGCAACAACAAAAATTATAGGTGATGCTTAAGCAGTTAAAGTTAATTACACTATCTTGCAAGCAAATTTGAATATTAGTTCATTTTGGTAGGATTTTACGATTCCGAGCCGATCTTACGATTATGATTTTGCAAAATGTAAAATGATTTTAAGTAGGATCTCAATTTTGACAAGTTTGCTTTTAGCTATTAAAGAAAAAGATGGGGAAAAAATATATTCAGCAATAGAAGTTTTCTATGTTTTAGCAACAACAACTATAAATCCAAAAGCTATTCAAATAGTTTTTAAAAAAAAACAAGTTTGTTTTAATATCATAGTTTATTTAATAAGATTGTAAGTTTTTTTAAATCAATATTGAAAATGATATAATACAAAGTTAGATTATTTAAAATATTTGTGATAAAAAAAATGTTATGATTGAATATGTTTATAAACTTAAAAATATTACGATAAAAAATGTTATGATTTATTGTATATTTTATTATTAAAAATTATATAATTCAAAATATGTAATAGATCCAAAATTTGTTATGAACAAAAAATTGATTTAGTTTAATATATTATGATCCAAAACCATTAGATTATCATATAATCAAAAAAATATTATGATTCAAAATATTATTATTGAAAATTATATCATCTAAATTGTTATAATAAAAAAAATTATGATTCAAAATATTGAGATTCTATGATTCAATAACATGATTGTTAATCTCTTATAATTTATAACTTTTATATTATATATATATATATATATATATAATATATATATATATATATATATATATATATATAATGGCAACAAAAACTAAAATCAAATATATAGTTGTATTAAAAAGTTAATAAAAATAGTAATAAATAAGAATAATAAAAAATAACTTGCTAAATTATGTTATATGGACGTACGTAACATTTGATCGCATCTCCTAGTCCGTGTTTCGTTCCAAAGATGAGTATTACATGCGATCGTGTCAAATCCAATTATTGCATTTGATATCAGTGTCTTGACGAAGTGGATGATAAAAAATTGTCTTTACAATGCTCATTGATTTTTAAGTCCTCAATAAATTTGCAAGCAGTAGCGGATACAAGAATTTATGTTGTAGTTGCACCTTACACTCTTAGGTGCAATTATTTTTTTTAGTGGGTGCTCTTAATAAAAGAAAATATATTACGATAGAAAATCGAGTGGTGGTCCAGGACCCCAGAAGACACCTAAATCTGTCAATGTTTGCAAGGGAAATAGTTTATATAAATTAATTACAGATGATAGTTATAATAAACTAAAATCACAACGTCGAAATGACTTTTTAAAAGAATACGTAACATACGCAATCTATATTTTTGATAGTAGCAAAGTAACTATTTCTATAATTCACTCTAAAACTTGCATACCTACAAAAGTTTCTAACGGAAAGCGTGATCCAGTCATAGGAAATTGCACCTGCACCCCTGCATTATAGTACTTTGCAGCTTAACCATCTAAACTTTCTTGGTATTTTCACATTAGAATTTCGAATTTAATTTCTTTCATTTTGTGTGAAGAACATCCTATTTGAATTTTATTGTCATCATAAAAGTTTTCAAATTATATTTTATTTTATATCAATGTTAATAGTCAAACTTTTATTTTGTATTTATAAAAATAGATTTTAGCATAGTGGAAAGTTAATATAAAAGAAAAATTGTTTGTAAACTCATCAAGTACAACTAAATCTCAACCACATACCCCACCAGCTTCTAATCTTCTTCCACTCACAAACCTATCATCTTAGAAGAGGTCATTGGATCTCCAACCCCCTTCATTTCTATGGTAGAAGAACTAACTTTTAGACAGTGGGTGATTAAAGACGTCAACCAAAAGTCACTTTGCATCAGTTATCTCGGTGCATTAATACTCGAGCTAAAGTTTGAGCTTATCCACCTTTTTTAAATAGCCTGAGCTTATCCATTTGTTTCCTTTGTTTCGAGGTGTAGAAAATAAAGATCCCCACAAGTTCCTTAATAAATTTCATGTGGTAAGTCCGAGATGAAGTCATGTAATGTCACAGAAGATCAAATCAAGCTAAGAACATTTCCATTTTTCATACAAGACTCAACAAAAGGATGACTCGACAACCTACCATCAAGGGTCGGTAACCACCTAAAACAAACTTGCAATACTATTCCTCTAGAAGTACTTACCGTAATCAAAATCCTCGAGCCTTCCCAAGAAAATCATTGAGACCAAACAATTAAAAATGGAAGTTCTCCGTACATATTGGAAATAATTCAAGAAACTATATGTTCGTTGCCTTCAACATGGTATAAATAATCATCAACATCTCCAATATTTTTGTGATGGTTTGTCCGCAATGGAGAGGGATCTCATTAATGCCTTAAGTGGTGGAGCCTTACTCGATAAAACCACACTCAAATCCTAACATTAATATCAATTGTGGCTAAAGATTCAAAACACTCATCATAAGAGGATGAATGGAATGAACACAAACCTCGCGAGGTCAAAGAAGTGAGCACTTCTCATATAATTTTCCCTCCCATCTTTCACTGGTACGCTTTCTCTCTCATTCCTAGCAAACGGATTTGTCTGTGGGATAAAACGGTGCTTCTTCCTCTCCGGCGGGTGCAAACGTCGGCATATCACCATTGCTCTCCAGATCTCTGCGTATTTTTTCACATCCAGGCAGGGGAAAACGACGGTTACGGTTCTTTCTTTTTTTGAAGTTGTTCCTTCTCTGATAACTGTGAGAGTTAATGGATGACAATGAGTGGAAGATTGTGCAGGGTAAAAAAGACACATATATGTTTAACATGACAATGAGTGGAAGATTGTGTAGGGTAAGAAACACACATTTGTATTTAACAGGCTAGGCAATTTTATAAGAACGATTCAAAGGAGATGTAACTTGCCAAGATTGCGATCACAGTTTACATTTCAAATTTTCCCTCCCATCTTTCCGTTAGTGAATTATGGAATATTTGTGGTCGTGTGGGTGTTATGGTTGATGTTTTCATAGCGAAAAAGAAAAAAAATGGGACAGATGTTTGCATTTGTAAGATTCATTAGGGTTGTTAATCAAGAAAAGTTATTGAACATCTTATGCAATATCATAATTGGCAGCCTTCGTTTGCATGCTAATATGGCCAAGTTTTCTAGGGAGACTACTAAAACTCAATCTATTCCAATCAATGTCCCGTTAACTAATGTTATTGCCAAATGGCGACAAAGTGGGAAAGAATTCTTATGCTAAGGTGATATCAGGTGAAAAAATTCAGGAGATTAATGATTTGAGATAGGATTTTGTCATGACCAAAGTCACAATTAACTGTGATGAAGGTCAAAATATGATCTATCCCATGGCCCTTCTTGGGTGTTATAAGGATAGAACATAGAAAAAAAACTCATGGTGATTCCATAATCTTTTAATTGACTTTACATCCAGGTAAAACATTTATATT